CATACACACACACACACACACACACACACATATATATATATATATATATATATATATATATATATATATATGTATATATATATATATGTTATATAATATGTAATAATATATATTATATGTTATATAATATATAATATATACTATATAAATATATATATAATATCTCCTCCCCCCCAGAGACAGGGTTTCTCTGTGTAGCCCTGGCTGTCCTGGAACTCTCTCTTAGTAAGACCAGGCTGGCCTCGAACTCAGAGATCACCCGCCTCTGCCTCCTGAGTGCTGGGATTAAAGGTGTGTGCCACCACTGCCAGGCTTTTTTATTTTTTTAAGCAGTTTTTATTAGATTTGATTCTGAACTGTCCCCACAGGCGCAGGCGGGGAATGCTTGGCCCCCAGCTGGAAGTGTTATTTTGGGAGTTTCTAGAAACTTCAGTGTGTGTGTGGGGCACTAGCTAGAGGAAGTAGAGCACTGAGGGTAGGCCCTCACGGGTATAATCCTGTCTCCTGTTTTAGATATGTCTTTGTTCTTCTTCCCCCCTCCCCTCCTCTTTACTTTTCCCCCCTCATGAGGTGAACAGCCACCTCCTCACACCCCTGCTGGCATGATGCTCTGTCCAAGGACTCAGGACCATGCAGATGCGGACCATGTGAGCAAAGCCAATCTTTTCTTTTTAACATTGTTTTTCCAGGTGCTTGGGGCTTGACTACATAAGAGCTAATGGTGTTCTCAGCCTGTGAAAAAGGGTGAGTTGCCCCTGTACTGAGGCGGTGTCTCCTGAAAGCCCTGTCTGCTGGGCCATGAGGACTCAGGTGTGTTATGTGGCAGAGCTGAAACCCCAAGTCCAAGTGCAGTCTCCCACGCTTGCTTTCCCTCCCTGCACTTCACAGATCTCTTCAGGTTCCCGCTGAACCAATGCCTGGCCTCCGGGATCAAGATAACATGGGCCAGACTCGAAGGTGACAGTGGGTCTGAGGTGTGAGCTGGCTCGTTTTTTTCTTTTTCTTTCCTTTTCTTTATTTGAGACAGGGTTTCTCTGTGTGGTGTTGGCTGTCCTGGAGCTCACTCTGTAGACCAGGCTAGCCTTCTAACTCACAGAGATCCACCTGCCTCTGCCTCCCAAGTGCTGGGATTAAAGGTGTGTGCCACCGCCGACAGGCTTTAGCTAGCTTTAGCCTGGACCCACACATCTAAGGATGGTGTCCTCACAGTGAACAGGGCCCACCCCTGCCAGCTATCAATCGAGACAGTCTCTCTCAGGCATGGCCAAAAGCCTGTCCAACGACGAGCTTCCCTCTTGCCCAGTGAGGTGACTCAGGTTGTGTCTAGTTTACAATAAAAATGGCGCATGCCTGTAATCCAGCGCTCAGGCAGCCCAGGCAGTAAAGGGACGGCCCGAGTTTGATCCCCAGAATGTACATTAAAAAACCCCAGTGTTGTGGGAGACTTATAATCCCAGGGTTGGGAGGCAGAGACAGGCGGGTGCCCGAGGCTCCCTGCTAGCCAGACTGGCCCAACTGGGGAGCTCTAGGCCGGTGAGAGACCCTGTTTAAACTAAGGTGAATGGGGAGTAAGAACAGCACAGACTGTCCCTCCGCCTCCGTGTGCACATGCGCCCAAGTTCACGAGCACCAGCACACGCATATACATGCACACACATGTACACGACACGCCCGGAAGCACTCCTGCTATAAAAGTAAATAATTCCCAACACAAACCCCTTCTGATCTTAAAAAAAAAGAAAAGAAACAATGAAACAAAGCAACAACAACAACAAAGAAAATAGGGAGTGGAAAAAGAGCAGCTGCTGATCTCTCCACAACTGTGGAGAACCAGGCCAGGACCAGTGAGTGGGCTTTGGCCAAACACATCACCAGGGCGTCGGAGCCTCCCATTCAGGGTCCTGGCCAGGAGGTGGCAGACAAAGCCGCCGTAACCGGAGAGGGCACTGGAGAACAAACCTTTGGAGCCTGAGGGAGTCGGTGTGAGCCCCGGAAGGTTGTGGGCATGCCACATGCTGCCCCTCTGTGCCCCTGCAGCTCCTTCGAGAGAGGTGTGGCTGCTGTGCACCTGGCTATGAGGGCAGCTCTTGCACACAGGGAGGAGAGAGGAGGGTGGCCATCTGGGCCCAAAGGGACTCAGAGAAACAGGACAGAACAACCGCTGTGTGGAAGATCCGCTTCTCTGGGGGAAGGATTCATATGGCTGTAAGAGGACAAATCTCAGACCTGACATTGTGCCTGGCTGATAGCGGCAGGATATGAACAGGAGTTTTGTGCATGTGACCACAACAAAGGTGAGAGATAGCACATTCTTTCTTTCTGTTTTTGACAGGGCCTCACGTAGCCCAGGCTGGCCTCAAACTTATTATGTAGCCGAGGCTGGTCTTGAACCCCTGCTCCTCCTCCTCCACCTCCCAAGTGCTGTGATTACAGGTCTTTTGTAATGTATTTGTTCTTTTGGTACTGGGAGGGAACCCAGGGCCTTCGCTAGGCAAGTGGCCCACCATTGAGGTCATGGCTAAGACAGAAAAAAGGAACTTGGAGGTGGCACCTGAACAGTTCAGCACAAGCTGAAAACTGTTACCTCTTGGCAGGAAGCAAAGGCGTGGCCAGTGGGGACTGCTGTTTCTTATAGACTTACCAGTATAGCATGAATCTCAAAGTGTAAGCAGACTTTTCCTGGGTTAAAAACAATTAAGAGCAACCAGCAGCATATTCTGAAATGCTGCTTTGCTTTTTTAACCCTGGAAAAGAATTTACAGTTATTGTTGTGTTTGAATGTGAAAAGCCCCCATGGGCTCAAGTGTTTGAACATTTGGTTCCCAGTGGGTGGTGCTGTTTTGGAAGGTTGTAGAGCCTGTGGGGGGTGGAGCCTCACTAGAGGAAAGTGGGCCATTGGAGGTGGGTCTTAACATTTGATAGACAGGTCTCACTTCCTGACTAAGGATGCCATGTGGCTGCCTATTTCCATGCTTTCCCTGGCCACGATAAACTGTGTCCCCCTCAAACTGTGAGCCAAAGTGATCCCCTTCTCATGAACAAGTGGGTCTACCGAGAGATGTTCCATACAGAACTGATGGTGCCTTGCAAAAGACTGGAACTGATCCAGCTGAAGGAGATGAAGAGAGCAAAATGGAAAAACCAAATCTCAACAGAAAGAAGTCTGACAGACTTCCTGGTGTTAATACGAGTTTTCTGTTTGTTTGCCTGGTTTTCGAGACAGGGTTTCTCTGTGTAACAGCCCTGGCTGTCCTAGACTCACTTTGTAGACCAGGCTGTCCTCTAACTCACAGAGATTCCCCTGCCTCTTGAGTGCTGGGATTAAAGGAGTGCTTAAAGTAGATTGGTGAGGCATCTGGGAGATGGTTTGCTCAGTCAGTAAAGCCCAGGACATGCAAGCGTGAGGGCCTGAGTTTGGATCCCCAGTACCCATGGAAAGGCTAGGCATGGTGGCTCATCCGTGACCCCAGCGCTCCTAGGCTAGAGACGGGTGGCTTCCTGGATCTCCCTGGCCAGCAATGCGACCCAGCCGAACACAGCCTACAGCCCGGCAGCTTTCTCACCACACTTTCAGAGCCACACTGAACTTTGTGCCAGCCGATGGTGCTCAGAGGGTTAAACAGTCCGGCCTGAGGGTGAACACCCCGCCCAGTGTCCCGGTATCACTCTTATCCTACAGGACTCCTGTCCACTTCCTCACAACCGCCACCAGGGACGAAGCAAGGGCACCTGATGTCCTACAGTGCAGCGGGAGAGGCCAGGTACTCAGAAGATAGTTCCCTTAGCCATCGCATACCCTCTGGATTAAAGCAGGGTCCGACGGTTAGCTTGCTAAACAAGCACCTTCAATACATGGATGACTTGAAAAAACACGGGACGGAGAACGGAGGAAGAGTTCGGCGTGGCACAGGCCCCATAAGCGCCGTGCTGGGGCAGGATGGGGAGGGTGGAATGCCATTCTTGCTGGCCTGGTATGCTTGTGGGTGGCTGTCTCCCCGAGAAGGTATAAACCAGGCCCAGACGTGGCAGATTTTTCCAGTGAGCCCTAATGTTCTGTGGGTTTCTGGAACTGACTTTGATGGCATCATGGTGGTCTGTGTGTGCCTTGGGTGAGGGGGTTGGGGAGGGGAGGTGGGCCTCCCCTCGGGGCAGAGGCGGCACTCTGGATCTCCTCGAAGCCCGAAGCCCGGGGACCCGATTCTAATGCCTTCTGATGAAATCCTTTTTGTTAGAGGAGGGTGTCTCATCCTGTGGGCTGTTCAGACATCAGCCTGGTGGTCGCCACGCTATTTCGGG